CCATTACTTCCTCCCTCCTTCTTTCCTTATTTTCCCTCCTCTCTCCCTCCTTCCCAATACCTCCTTCCTTCCTTCCTTCTTCCCATCTTCTTTTCCTCCCTCCCATGCCCTCCATCCCTCCCTCCCTTTCTTCCTTCATCTTCCCTCCTTCTTTCCTTATTTTCTCTCCTCTCTCCCTCCTTCCCATTACCTCCTTCCTTCTTTCTTCCCATCTTCTTTTCCTCCCTCCCATGCCCTCCCTCCCTCCTTTTCTTCCTTCATCTTCCCTCCTTCTTTCCTTATTTTCCCTCCTCTCTCCCTCCTTCCCAATACCTCCTTCCTTCCTTCTTTCTTCCCATCTTCTTTTCCTCCCTCCCATGCCCTCCCTCCCTCCTTTTCTTCCTTCATCTTCCCTCCTTCTTTCCTTATTTTCCCTCCTCTCTCCCTCCTTCCCATTACCTCCTTCCTTCTTTCTTCCCATCTTCTTTTCCTCCCTCCCATGCCCTCCCTCCCTCCCTTTCTTCCTTCATCTTCCCTCCTTCTTTCCTTATTTTCCCTCCTCTCTCCCTCCCTCCCATTTCCTCCTCCGTCCCTCCTTCCTTCCTTCTTTCCTTCCTTCTTTCCTTCCTTCTCCTCCCTCCTATTTCCATCCATCCATCCATCCCATTCTCTTCTTTCTTCGCAACCTATCTTTCCTCCCTCCCTCCCTCCCTTTCTTCCTTCATCTTCCCTCCTTCTTTCCTTATTTTCCCTCCTCTCTCCCTCCCTCCCATTTCCTCCTCCGTCCCTCCTTCCTTCCTTCTTTCCTTCCTTCTTTCCTTCCTTCTCCTCCCTCCTATTTCCATCCATCCATCCATCCCATTCTCTTCTTTCTTCGCAACCTATCTTTCCTCCCTCCCTCCCTCCCTGTTTTTCTTCCTTCCCTCCCTCCCTCGCTGCCCCCTTTCCCCTCCCCGCAGAGCATCATCTACTATGTGACCTGCTCCCCGAAGCTGGAGGAGTGGATGGGGAACGAAGGCATCCAGGAAGCCCTCCGGCCTTGCACCGCCCTCAACTACGCCGACAGCGACCCCACCTTCAACCTGAACATTGACGAAGACTACGACCACCGCATGGCGGGAATCTCCCTGACTTCTTTCTGCAACATCTACCTCGACTGGATTCAGTACTGCTCCGGGCGCAGGGAGAAGGTGCGTCGGGAGCCGGAGGGAAGAGGTGGGGGGTAGGATTATCTGACACCTGGCTTGGGAACCTGACAAGTCCGTCCCCCCCAATTTCTGGAGAAGGGGTTCACGGTGGACCTAAAATTCACCTCCCGCCTATGGTCTCCCTCCTCCTGCAGGCCGTGGACCGGGAGTGGAATTCCCGCCTGGTCACCCTGTGCTTCGGACTTTGCATCCTGGGCCGCCGAGCCCTCGGAACGGCCTCCCACAGCATGTCAGCCAGGTGAGAGGAAGCCCTTCGTGCCTTCGCTTCTCCCGACCCCTCTCGGCTCGATTCCCTTCTGACCCTGATGGTGTTACCTAGCGTGGTCGTGAAATGCCTGCAGGGAAACTCATTTGAGAGCAGCAAGGGCCCCACGGAGAATATTGGTTCCCTCGAGGATGGAACTGTTTTTGGCGCTGTCTGAGCTTGGCGGTTTTCCTGCAGACGTTTCGTGAGCCCTCTAGGTAACACTATCAGTTTTAAAGGGGAGTGGGGGTTTCTCTCTCTTCTCCCCCCCCTCCCATCACTGATGATGATTACATTGGTAATGAAACGTCTGCAGGAAAACCACCAAGCTCAGACAGCACCAAGGACCCCTCAGTTAGCGTCGTCCTCCTCCTCCCTTCTCCCTTCCAGCACTGATAGTGTTACCTAGCTGGGTTGTGAAACGTCTACAGGAAAACCACCGGCAGTTCAGAGAGCACCAAGGACCCCACAGTTGTTATTGTTATTTTGTTCTCCTTCTTCTCCTCCTTCCTCTTCTTCTACTTCTTCTTCTACTACTACTCTTTCTACTACTACTACTACTTCTACTACTTCTACTACTACTTTTTCTTCTACTACTTCTACTTTTCTTCTACTTCTACTACTTCTTCTTCTACTTCTTCTCTTCCTCCTCTTCCTTCTCCTCCCTTCTGCAAACTCCCCTCCCTTCTAGCTCTGATGATGTTCCCTAGCTGGGTCATGAAACGTTTGCAGGAAAACCACCAAGCTCAGAAAGCACTAAGGACCCCCACAGTTCTCCTCTTCCTCCTCCTCCCTTCTGCAAACTCCCCTCCCTTCTAGCTCTGATGATGTTACCTAGCTGGGTCATGAAATGCCTGCAGGAAAACCACCGGCAGAGATTTCAGAGAGCACCAGTGACCCCACAGTTGTTGTTATTGTTATTGGTGTTCTCCTTCTGCACCTCCTTCCTCTTTCTCTTTCTCTTTCTCTTTTTCTTCTTCTTCTTCTTCTTCTTCTTCTTCTTCTTCTTCTTCTTCTTCTTCTTCTTCTT